CTTTTAGAGAGTGTGTATATCTCACTTGGCGCATTCTTAGCACGTGATGGAGTATCCAGCGCACGTATACTCTCCGCAATATCGAAACGTGCTATTTTAGCTGATGTGCGTCCTGATGAAGTACACTGCACCTCGCCTACTACCTTGGTGAATCCCTTCTGACGACCACGTTTCCTAGCGCCATTCGTACCGTTGCAAGCACACTTACACTTCTTGCACACGCTATTACACACTGAACAACGTCCTCGTTTACAATTGCATGTGCATTCGTCGCACACATCCTGGGGTATGCAACCACAGGCCGTCATATCGCCACTAACCTCCGAATTAAAGTCAATTCAATGCATGCATCAATCGATGGTCATTACACCATTCCGCAATGTGACCACCTGTTATCGTTGTTCTATGCTACCATGGGCTTATGTGACCCTACCATACACCTTATGAGCGATATATAACCTTGTTGGCATGTCACAATCGTGTTTTTCACCTACCGCAAATTCGACCTACCCTCTGGTACGGGCACGCTAATAACTCGTGAAGTATTGGTGCTATGAACATGGTGTAAAAACAACAATTGATCAGAAGTGTGTGATTAATCCGTCTCGAGTGATAAATTATGCTTTGGCCTATTTCCGCATTTAAACAAAACTGCCCTGCCCCAAAATTCTGACCCGGTTAGGGATAATATTATTTATTTCAAAAATGGCAAGTATGTATGATACAATGTCTGAACATATGGTATGGCTCTCAAAGTCGCTGTAGTGGTTCAGGAAAGATTGATGGGAAGAAGTGGCCAGTAAATTCCCGTTTGAAGCTTGGGCCAAGTGAGAATGGAAGATATGTGCTGAGTCAATTCGGGCCGGTGTTGACAAAACACTGTTACTATCGAATGTTCCATATATTCGCTTGCTGACCTACTAAGTAGAGTACCCACCTCTGTGGTACGGATCGGGTCTGCGCCATGTAGTGCCGCGGAATGGGTTAGTGCAGAGGACGAAATACCGAGAAGGACCAGGTTATCCGTCATAATCCGGTCGAGAAGCGAGGATGGGGGTAAGCCAATGCCGCACCAGACCACGGATGAGTTCGGTATGTGTTGGCTGGCCTGGATCGGAAGTATCATATAGGCGATTTTTTAGTTAAAAAAATCTATATGCACAATATTTATGAAGTGATATTTATCTCGATAAACAGTGAAAGGCACAACAATATTGTAGAGCCAACCTCATATCGTTTTCCGTTATAACTTTTATAAATCGAATAAATATACGTTTACGTTCAACTTTCATTTCATTTGCGGTCCCTTGTATGTTCATAGGTGCAACGTGAGGGTCTAAAGATATATGTGTGTACAATGTTCACGATATGAACCAGTCCTAAAAACAACTTAGGTAGGCCCTTCTGGTCACATCATATCCGTTATAACGTTTTAAAATTGAATAAATATGCGTTTACGTTCAACTTCTATCCCGTAGCCCCATAACGTTATGAGCTTAGAATTGTAGAGTTGTATTATGTTTATAAAAATATATTTATATAAATAGTTAAACCGTAGTTGCCCCGCCAACATATATGTGCATCCTGAGCATCCTACAACGCCTCCATGAGCTTCCCACTTATCGATTCCCAAATTGAGAAATTGCAAGCGAACAAGAAGAAATGGGTCAACACATCGTTTGCAGACAAAGTGCAGGTACGGTGGATTGGATTGTGGCACCCTCAAGTCGAAACTTGTTTACGTACATGTCTGCCCATGTGTTATTGTTGTAGATCCGATAAGATGCATTAATCGTATTATTTCTCTGGCCTTATTCTGATGGACCTGTCGCTTGCGAGTATTATCTGTTTTGCTTCACTTGTATTGCGATAAGTTTATCTGTTCTACTTTTGAGTCGCTTAGGCCGGTTGTTTATCAAATATCATGATTGATATAGCAGATATCGTCCGCTATACCTCACATATTCCAAATTCTCTACCGCAAACAAACGCTAAGTATAGATGCTGAAAAAGAGCAAAGAGCTTTTGCATGAACATGGTTTGGAGTGGGCAAAAGCTGCTATGAAGGCCAAGGGTTATGTGGATGATCACCATGACTACGAACATCTACTCGGCGAAGAGATTTTCGGTATGGCTCAAGCACAGGGCAAGTCATTGAATTACTACATCGCCACTTTTGAACCTCTGGCCAAACAACAGGCTAGCAAGAAGCCATATTCAGTGCCTGGCGCGTATGGAGGTATGACCGAGAGTATCGACGGTAAAAGTACCGTGTGCAAGGTGTTCCCGTCCAACATAACTGAGAAGGTGGTGTATGGTGTGCTATCTGGGGAGCTTTGGGTAGAGCATGTAGACCTGAAAGCAGGTCAGAAGCCCAAGCAAGGTTCTAGAGCCCTCGATCGAGACTACTCTGGGGATGTTGCCTTAGTACTTGGTGCAGGTAATCAAACTGCGATCCAAACCGGTGATGTTTTATACTATCTTTTCAACATGCAAGATGTGGTGCTCCTCAAATGGAACCCCGTGAACGACTACGGTCACAAGTTCTTTGAGATGGTGTATGCACCTTTCATCGAAGCTGGCGTGGTTTGCAGTATTACGGGTGGAGTGGACGTGGGCAAGTACCTCACTTCACACCCGAGTTTGAATAAGATGCACATGACTGGCTCTGGTGCGACGCACGACCAGATTGTGTGGGGTCCCGGTGATGCAGAGACCATCAAGAGAAATAAGCAGGCTGGCAAGAAATCGTGCGATAAGGAATTCTGTTCGGAATTGGGCTGTGTGAGTCCCGTCCTGGTTACTCCCGGGGAGTGGAGCAAGGCTGAGATGGACAATCAAGTCCAGCACCTGGCAGGAACAGTCGCGCACAACAACTCCTTCAACTGTGTGGCGTCTAAGGTATTTGTGGTGGACAGTAAGTGGGCGCAGAAAGAGGAGTTCCTTGCTGGCCTTAAGAAAGCTCTAGCGAGTGCGCCTACGCGCAACCCATACTACCCCAACTCGCACAAGCGTCACGCAGAAATTGTGGACCACTACGGTAACCGAGCAGCGGTAGTAGGTCAAACCAAGAAAAGTGCAGATCATCTAGAAACCACTCTAGTAGCTAATCTCAAGAGTAGTGCGGTTGCCCAGGACGAAAAAGCCCTTGTGTGGGAATCATGGACACCTTTCGCGGCGGTTCTGGAGATGGACCAGACCGACGGCAGTGTGAAGGATTTCCTAAACCAATCTGTGGCATTCTGCAACGAGCGCTTGTATGGCACGCTTGGTGCGACAATAGTCATCGACCCCAAGTCTGAGGCGGATAATAAGCAAGTCTTTGAGAAGGGTATTGCGAATCTCAATTACGGTACAGTCGCGGTGAATGCCTGGACTGGAATCGTCTTTATCACTCCGAACATGGTGTGGGGTGGAGCACCCGGAGCGACAGCAGAGGATGTGCAGAGTGGTGTTGGATGGGTGCACAATTCAATGCTGTACGACGAGGTCCACAAGAGTGTCTTCCGCGCTCCCTTCCGTATGCCTTTGGGACTCAAATTGCCCTGGAACCCGACTGTAGAGAATCTACGTGCCTACGCGCAGGTGGGTGCAGATGTGGAGACGCAGGGTGGTGTGGTGAACATGCTCAAATTCTTGAAGCAAACCGTGAGTTCGTGTACTTGAGGTATTTGTGAAATAGGGCTATCCGGCTGATGGCACGCGCGCATGCGTAGATAAAAATAAATATAATAATCAAGTTAGAGGTTCACATAATATTGTGCGAGGGGGTACATCCACGGTCACTCGAAAAAAAAGGTGAAAAAAAGTGAGTATATTTAGTTGGTTCGATGTGTTGCTGAAGAATGGCACTTCTCGCTCTATGAGCCTGTTCTGATGCTAAATTAGATCCTGGTACTACTTAATTTGGTAGAACATACCACTTTTATTTACACTTTAGTATCGGCAGTACCTTGTAATTAAAATCCTTGCCAGCGGCACCGGAAGTACCGGAGTATATATATACATATATATGTATGTGTATATGTATATACAACCGGGACTAGTGACGACAGCACTCGATCATTCTCAAAATATGGCCTCTAAGCTAAAGGAGAGCGCCATTATGGGATGCGATACAGACTTCAAATCAGAAAATGTGAACAAAAAGGACTTAAGTAGATTTGAGTGCGGTCGATGGGGTGAGTATAAGGGATGAGGTTTGAACATTTGAACAGTGGATTGAGGGCGAACGAGTTGAGACTAGGCGACAATGAATAAATAACGATGGCAATTCTGCTGCGTATCTGACTTATGCTTTTGACTATCAATGTGAGTAATGTGGCCAAGACAACCGACGGTGACACGATACAAGGGCGCGTTAGGCGAAAGAAATTGCCAATTCCGGCCCAATTTAGTAGTGAGAGGATAACGAGGACAAGCAATCGGCAGTTCCGAATTTTTGCGTACTGTAAATGTCGGCGATTCTGATAGAAAATATCTAGAGGGTGTTAAGGTCCTATTAGATTTGTACGGCTATGTACAATCATAGCTGAGTTGTTTTCCTCAGTGTTTTAAAGCTAAATCAGCGGGCGAGACACTTTCAAACTGATAGGACCCGCGAAATCTCTCGTTGAATCTTTAGCGTTTAATCATGTCCTAATTTTATTGAGTGAAGTATAATTGTATATGTATACCCAAACAGGTCCCTCCGTACACATACAGGTATATTCATAACCTCATCCACTTCTGTAAGCAAAATAGCTTTCTATTCAGAATCCGGTTCTTCGTCTACAATATCGGGTATGTCATCCATATCGCTGCCATCATCATCGTTATCGCCCACGTGCTCGCTCGTACCTACATCCGACAGTGCGACGTTACCCGTGTAGGATGGCGTGTCAGTGTCACGTGTCAAATTCACCTCCGTCTCGCTCAGCGTGTCTGTACCTGTTGTATGTGCACTTGCAGTACTTGGCCCCGACGCCTGAAGGTCTGGTTCGCCCGTAGGCGTACCTTTGTCCTCACTCGTACTCTCAGCGGGTGTTCTGGTTTCAGTCTCCGTTATAGTACTACTATTCGCACTCCCCACTAGAGCTATGACAGTCTTCTCTTCAGCTCCCGCTTGCTCATCACTCGCCTGCACACGCGAGCGCTTGACTGTGGGTTGTTCAGGTGCATCCTCTGCGCGTCTTGTGTGCGCTTGTGGTTTGTGCTCGTGCTCTACTTTCTCTATCACTGTAGCGTGAATGTGAGTGTGTGATGTTGGTTGTATACTTCCTTCTGGTTGGCTGGTGTCCATCTCCGACCTCTTCACTGTGATTGTATCCAAACTGGCCCTGGTCTCTGTGTGTGCGTGCGTGGCGGTGTCCGTGTAGCTCATGTCTACAGCCGTCGACTCAATGGACCGCTCCTCCATTAAGGAGAGTCCTATCAGTCGATTACTCTGCAAGCATAAACAAAAAATTGACATGGGACTGGAGTCATAGATATATATATAAATGAATATATGTTTACGTATATATATATACACATATATACTTATACTTATACAATATTCAATGCATGCATGTATTTACCAGAATATGAATATGAATATATACATACATACATTATATATATATG